GAACCCGGAGGAAGCCATTGCAGAACCAGGGGAAGAGAGAACATACAAACTCCAGAGGCACCGACTTGCATTTCTCTGTTCACACGAGTGGCAGGTGATGGGCGGGGTGACGACATCATCGCCACCATCAACCGCGTCATTCTGGGTGTGGCTTGTGGGGGTTTCTTTCCTTCAGTGGGCAGGCTGTGGGAGGTGGCCACAATTTGCCAAGGGGCCAAAACAGCTGACCACAAAAACAGAGTACACCCTATGGAACATTTTTGTTAATTGACGTTTTATGGGAGGAGACAAATCAAGACTGAGACTGAATAGGTTTCGTACATTATTTTGATCCCAAGATGCCAGCATCACATTTCTTTCCAAACACGCCTGATTTAAAAAAAAATACAATTAGGTGCATACCCAATGAAACGGCGTTACTTTGTTGAAAGGAAACATGAGTAAAATAAATAAAAGGTAATACGGTCACGGATGTCATAACATTTTAATAGCTCGCGATGATAATTAGTACATTTTTATTTTGCCAGGTGTCATGGTGCAGATACAATATTGTACTTTTTTTTAAACAAGTCTTGAGGTATATATGTAGTAGCATATGTCAACAGGTGCGTTCACACACGTGATGCATTGCCTCTTTTGCAAGGGTGACTCGGGTGGGCTACGTCATGTCAATTAAAATACAGCAACATATTTCAAGCATATTTAACTTAACAAAGCAATAGTATTCTTGGTTCTTTCGGTAAAGTCACGTGAATATGAATCCCTGCAGTCACGAAAGCTTTAAATCAAAATTTAAAGCAATAGTATTGAACAATACAGTACACAGCTACCAGAAATGCAATGTTGTTCATCGTAATCAATAAAACTAATTCTAATAAAATATTATATACCGGTACATTTATTTAAACGCACCAAATAAGTGCAACAGTTTTTTTAAGCATCAGTACGCTACTGTAATTAAACACAGTGTTTGATGCACAAGCACTCCCAACAAACAACTCAACCAACACGTTCGGCAAAAAAACGCTGTCTTAAAAATACACATAAATAACTGATGTTTATTTCGATTTAAAGCTTTCGTGACTGCAAGGATTCATCTGCTTTGGTTCTTTCGGTAAAGTCACGTAGAATGAGAATAAAATAATAAAATAATAAAATAAAATTGTTTTATTCTCATTCTACGTGACTTTACCGAAAGAACCAAAGAAGATAAACAACTGATGTTTCGTGCAATAGCCCTACGCATAGCACATAGGAGGGCCATTGCTCGAAACATCGAATATTATATTGCTTTCAAGGCCACCCCGTTATTGACGAACGCGCTAACTTGTACGTATTGTAATTAGTGATATATATGTGTAATAGGGCAGGGGTCGGGAACATTTTTGGCTTAGAGAGCCATGAAAGCCACATATTTTAAAATACATTTACCTGAGAGCCATATAATATTTTTTTAACACTGAATACAACTAAATGCGTGTATTTTTAACTAAGACCACCAATTTTAGAATATAAGTCTCTGAATGTATCCTTTTCAATAAGGTTATACCAACAACCAATAATAAATAAAATACTTCTTACCATTAATGCGACTTCTGGTGCTGCATGGTTTTGCTGATGGCTTTGTAGTCTGGTTGATACGTGGTGAGGTTAAGCTTCATGCAGGCGTTGCAGCTTTCATCCGTTAAACGGGATCGTAGGTTGGTCTTGATGTTTTTTAGATGTGAGAACGACTGCTCACATGAATACGTAGAACCAAACATGGTCAATACAGCAATTCTCACACGCTGCAGTGTGTGGTATGTGACAGGAAGCGCGTTCCATGTTTTGACAATCAGCTGGTCTGCGGGTTGAAGTTTTTTCATTTCTGTCCACTTGTGTTTGCTCGCCAGCTCTGCTTGCTGTCATTCAAGTCTTTCCAAATCTTCATTCAGTGACTTGAACTTATTCACCCACATGTCTGAGGCCTTCAGGTCAGCAACTTCCAGCTCAAAATCTCTGATGGAGACACCAGGGATGTAACTCAGGTCGGCTGTGTCCACTGCACACTCGTGTGGATGAGTGATGAACTTGAAAAGACGAGTGTGCTCACGAAATTCTCCAAAGCGTGCTTTGAATGGCTGCTGGAGATCAGATGTGAAGCCAGCTAGCTGATGGAGATCAAAATGTTGAACGGGGTCACTTGCTGTGCACGCATCTTTAAATTCTCTCAGTTTTTCAAAGTGCAGTAAACGACCTGTTTCAATATCCAAATGCAAACATGCAAACATTGCTTGTTGAAGGGATAAGACTTTCCAATGCTTTGCATTTTCACATTGAGCTGGTTCAGATGTCCAGTCATGTCCACAAGATAGTAAAACTTCAGGAGCCACTCAGTGTTAGCTAGCTCAGGATGCTCGACATCTTTAATTTCAAGAAAAGTCCGGATTTCGCTCAGGCAAGCTGCAAAACGGCTGAGCACCTTCCCTCTTGACAACCGACGCACATTGCTGTGCAAAAGCAGACCGGGATAATGATTCCCAACTTCATCCAGCAGTGTTTTAAACTGGCGATCATTTAAAGCTCGGGCAACAATAAAGTAGACCACCCGAATGACCAGTGACATCACCTCACCAAGCTGCTCGCCACACATTTGAACACCAAGCGCCTCCTGATGTAGAATGCAGTGAAGACTTAGGATTGGTCTTTTTTCATGTTGACGAAGAAGCGCTACAAATCCTCTTTTTCCCCACCATACACGGAGCACCATCAGTACACACCGAAATAAGCTTATCCATCGGTAGATTTTTTTTTCTTTAGCGAACTCAATGAAAGACTTGAATAAATCCTCCCCTCTTGTTAACCCTTTCATTGGCAAAAACAGCAAGACTTTCCTCACGCAGTGTGTCACCGGCAGCATACCTTGCAATCACACTGAACTGAGATAAATGACTTACGTCTGTTGACTCATCCAAAGCGAGGGAAAAGTATGGCGCTGCATTTATGTCCTTCACTTGTGTTTCCTCCACTTGATTTGCCATCATTACGGTACGATCGTGAACAGTTTTTGCTGATAGAGGCATTTCTATTATTCGTTTGATTATCTTGTCTTTATCCGAAAAGTCGTCAAAAAGTTCCTTGGCCACATCAAGCATGAATGTTTTGGCATACTCGCCATCTGTGAATGTCTTTCCGTTCCCTCACAATTGCTAAAGAACCAGCAAAGCTAGCCGAATTCCCGTCACCTTGTCTGCTCCATACACGGAGTTGCTGCTGACTAGCTTGCACTCTGGACAGTAGCTCTTGGCGCATGCCTTCTTTCTGCTGTCCCCCGTTGGATATTTCGATGCAAATGTAGCATGGCGTGTGTCGAAGTGCCGCTTTATATTTGACCGTTTCATCGATTACAATTTATCATTGCATATTAGACACACCGCAGAACCTGCTCTCTCCACAAGGCGAATTCTTCTGTCCATTCGTGCTGAAATGTGCGGTACTCCTCATTTTTTTTCTTTTCGCCATCTTCATCAAAAGGGTTTGCTCTGCATAAATTAGCTAGCTGACTATTTGATTAAAAGGACGGAAGTTTACTTCTTGACCTCACAACGACCCGTAGGCTACCGCATTATCCAATAAAAATAGAGTTTTGGTGTCGGACAGCTGGGATTGGCTCCAGCCACCTGCAACCCTGAGCAGGAGCGGTAGAAAATGGATGGATGGATTAAAATGCATGAGAATGTTTTATATTTTAAACGTTATTTTTAACACTGTGATTTCTGTAATGTTTTACTTTAATGTCAGCGGAATTATTCATTACTTATCATGTTAACAAATGTCAGCTAAGATTTATTTGCGAGCCAGATGCAGTCATCAAAAGAGCCACATCTGGCTCGCGAGCCATAGGTTGCCGACCCCTATAAAACAGGGTGATGCAGTGGTTAACGCATGGCACGATGAACTACATCTACCCGAGTTTGATTCCTGGCCATGGCTACTAAAGGGCCGTCATTAAATGACGTCACGCACCTAGGGGGGGGGGGGGGTCAGACATTTGTGACGATATGTGACGAGGGGGGGGGGGGTTGAGAAATGTGACGTCACATCAAAATGCGCAACTTTAAATAAATATAGACAACACGTTCTACTTCATTAAATAGACTTTGTAATAAAAATGTTATCCTACAACATCAGAGTGCAACGTCACATTAAATACGCACTACAATGACAATAGTTTAAAGCGATTTGAAGCATGTTTTATGGTTTTGCGGGGGGGGGGGGGGGGGGGGCAGAGCTTTGTGACGTCATATTTGAGTGGGGTCTGACTTTTTGTGACGCCGTGTGACGAGGGGGGGGGGGTAAAAAATCGTCCAAAATCGCGTGACGTCATTTATGGACGGCCCCTCCTAACATCACAGGCTATATATCGGAACTAGTGCTGGATCTCCCCACTTCAACCCACATGAACAGCGCGTGGTGAAGTACAGTTAAGAACGAACCCCTATGACTTACAAGGTAAAGGGGAGGCCTCCATCCAGCAGTGGATTTAAAAAGCATGTTACTGTCCTCTACTGTCGGCCGAGCGGTAGCAGCAGCAGCAGGTGTTAGTATTGACACCCAGGTGAGGACTGGCTCACCTGCACAGGTATGTGTAGGTGGGGGTGTGTAGGTGGGTGGGTGTGTCTGGCAGCGGAGGAGAGGGTGTTGTAGGTGGCTATGTGTAGGTGGGTGGGTGTGTCTGGCAGGTGAGGGTGTGTAGGTGAGTGGGTGTGTTGGTGAGGGTGTGTAGGTGAGTGGCTGTGTCTGGCAGGTGGGGGTGTGTAGGTGAGGGTGTGTTGGTGGGTGGCTGTGTCTGGCAGGTGAGGGTGTGTAGGTGAGTGGGTGTGTCTGGCAGGTGGGGGTATGTAGGTGAGGGTGTGTTGGTGGGTGGCTGTGTCTGGCAGGTGAGGGTGTGTCGGTGAGTGGGTGTGTCTGGCAGGTGAGGGTGTGTAGGTGAGTGGGTGTGTAGGTGAGAGTGGGTGTGTCTGGCAGGTTGTGGGTGGGGCCATTGCAGGTGACGATGAGGAAGTGGGAGGTGGCTAGACTGGGCTCACCTGCACGCACCTGTGTGGGACGCTTGCTCGTTGTGCGTGCTGAGCGGTGGCAGTGTGAGAGGGGGCCGGGGGCGACTCAGGGAGTGGCGGAGCGAGCGTCGCTCACTCGCAGCAGCAGCCGCAGCCGCCGCCGCCGCAGCCGCAGCAGCGTCCATTAAACGTGAAGCAGCAGGCCTCCGCCGTTCGCTTCGCTTTCGAGGAGGCCTCGTCCACGTCAACCGCGACGCGCAGCCGAAGACGACGAGGAGGTACAGCAGCTCCAGCTGCCTCTCGTGGTGTCTGACGGGGGGGGGAGGGAGGCGTTCCTTGCTCGGCTGCGGCGGGGATCGCGACCGCATTCGGCCGCAGTCTTCACGCCTCGACACAGCAGCGACAAACCACCACAGAATCGTCTCATCGGCATCTCATTATCCTCCCCTTAATATACACGTGCAGCCTTTAATGACGGTGCATCCTCGATGTTTCCGTATCGAGTCAACATAGCCTCTTAATATTCTCAGGTTTCACATCTCGGCAATTTATTTCATCAACATCATCCCACACAACATCCCCAACATTCCCTGTTATCTCCCCAAGCTCCGTTTCGCTAACATCCCAACCTCGACTCAACATCGATTACATCTTCAACATTATCTTAACATACTACCCTCAGCGTCCCAATCTATACCCGTAAAGTTTTCCTCATCTCATCTCCATAACCTCACGGATCTTTACATCCCCTACTTAATAAACTAACGTCTCAGTCACAGCATCTCAACATACCGAAACTTCATCAGCACACTCTTCATATCTCCTGAACGTCGTCCACTTTGTTGTTGCTGCTGCTGCTGATCCTCCTGCCACCACCTCCATTCACCAAAGCACAGCGAGCAAGGGGACCTGCTCGATGGAGGGGCATGAGAGCGTGAACTCGAGTTCAGGGAATGTTCAAATTCCCAGTCTCCTGTTGGGCACAACTCCACTGGCAGTCGCCCGTGGGAGCGTGGCACCCAGCGCAGGTGGGCCCTCTGGGCTGCCACCGTTGCCCAAGAGTCTGAGCGGGCTTTTGAGCTCGGCTGGCGGTGGCTTCGGGAGCCACGGGAGTGGCCCGACATCGTGGCGAGAGCTGGAGAGGACGTACGCCAAGAGGTCCATGATCCAGGACGACCTACAGCGGGGCCGCAGTGGGGCTGCGGAGGGACGAATGTTGCTGGCCAGCTGCAAGCCCGGCAATCTGGACCTGGCGATGGCTCTGCTGCGCAAGGAGATGGTGAGCTTCTTACAGCGTCTACCACAGGGGCGACTTGTCGATGGGGGGGGGCTTTTAATGACCCCATTTGTGGAAGTCTTGTCACCCAGAATGTCACCTCTCTGGAATTGTTTCCAGGTTTCATAGCAACTGTTGTGGTTAACTTTGGTGGTCTGCTACAAAATTTGAAGCACATTCCTCCTAATTGGTTCGATCACCGTTATTTATAATGGGCAAGAAATTGTATTTTTATTTTGTATTGATATAAAAAAGAGATTTTGAAAATCTGATAATCATAATGATGAAAGTTGCAAGTGGTGGCCAATTGCATGCATGAGCATACTTGCTGCAGTTATTGGTGCTGTTGTATTTTATCCAATGATTTGAAATACATTTAAGCTCGATCGAGTGCTGCATATATGTAATGTTAAATGCTTCTCTGGCATTGAATAAAGTCAATACAGAGACGCTCAATTAATCTGCTTCAATAGTGACATATCCTTTTGGAAGCTTTTTAAAAATATAAACTACCTAATGGTTTCATATATTAACGTCGTTTTAAATTTTGAGTTAAAGCTTTCGTGACTGCAGTAATTCATATTCTTAGCTCTTTCGGTAAAGTCACGTTGAAGGGAAACAATAAAATACTAAAATATATATAAAACAGTAAAAATTCTCACGACGTTTCGACCATAACACAAACGGTCGTCATCAGGTGTGTCGGTTTGCAATTAATGCAAACCGACACACCTGATTACGACGTGACTTTACCGAAAGAGCTAAGAATATGAACGTCGTTTTACTTTAAGCATACGCCAGCTGTCTAATTGAAATTCCTATAATGTAATCCAGTATTTGATTATCTCAGAAATAACCTGCACACAACTCTGTCAGGAGTTGTTGGGTCATGGACGCGTTAGACCGGTTCAAATGCCATCGCCTGTTTGGTGTAGGAAATAAACAGTCCTTGTGAAGTGTAACCGGTTGACTACCGGAAGAACTGCCCTTGAACTGTAATTCCTGGCCCTGCCAATACTGTATCGTTTGTGTGTGTTTTTGAACATTGCCCTTAGGCAACAAGGCCACTTTCAAAATGTTTTGGCAGTAAGGTGACAGCAGGTGTGTTATGCTACAGTAACAAACGTCGGTGCTATTGGGCATGTAGAGTATTTACCGTACAATAAATGAATACTGTACCAACAGTGTCACGGGGATCCTGGTGTGATGTACATTTTAGCATTCTGGACTTGCAAATGCAGAGGTCGCCAGTTTAACAGCCCCACTTGCAAACATGATGCAAGTCTCTTAAATGTCTGCTTCCCATCCCCCCGTCTCTGTTCACCTTAGTAGTATAAATGGGTACATTACTATCGTTCGGCAGGTTGTGTGTGGTCGAGTAAGTGTGGGTACAGCCACTTCTTTCGAGACGTCGGGCCAATTTGAAAGAGGAAACCGACTGTGCTTTAGAGGGGCTATTTAAAGCTGCCTCGAGTGGAGGCCAACAGTATTGTAAGTAAGCAGTGTAAGGGCTGCACCTCCACCACCAGCATCGCGGTCAATGTTGGTGGTGAAGAAGATGTCTTGCGGCAAAGTTATATTGGTGTTGTAAATTGCACACTCTGTATGCATGGTTGTGTTGAGGTCTCCAAGACGGCAGTTTTATAGCGAATAAACCTAAACACATAAAATGTGTGTGGTCTGTGTCCTGTAGGTAATCGCTGCTAAAATCCAAGCATTTATTATTTTCCTTTTGAATCAGGGTGGTAATTTTCCCTGAGTAGTCATTTCATTTATGCATTTTTTTTGCAAGCACAATCGGTTCTCTGTTGCATATCTTTGTCCTGTCTATCTTGGAATTCAACAACAGTATTCGGTTAAAGAAGTTTACATTATTTTCCGAAGTCGACTGAAGTTTTAATTAATTGAAATTGTGTATCTTGCACACGGTGCAGATGGGACTTCGGCAGCTGGACATGTCCCTTCTGTGCCAGTTGTCGGCCCTCAATGAGGGCATGCAAGAGTACAAGACGCTCGTGCAAGACCTCTCCATGGCCTCTTCCGTTACTCCCTCCGAGACGTCCTTTGAGGACGACTACGACGGCGAGTTTTCCCCGAGGAGCGGCTCGTACGCCGTGGGCTCCTCGCGTTTAAACGAACCTTTCCAGATGACTATTTGACACTGCACTAGGCTGTTGTTGTTGTTGACAATCCCAGCATTCCCTCTCATCGACCAATTGCGACTGCCACCATGAAACTGTCACCATAAAATTAAAAGGCCAAAACATCTCCCAGGTCTACTCTGTGGCCATCCATTTGTAATATACTAGTTACTATTGGATACAATTAAATAAAAATACTGCGGAGTAGGTGAAACATCATGTTTCCTTCGTTAGATTGGTTTTGGTGGGCTTCATAGAATGTCATAGTTGTTGTGCCCTATGAATATTTTTGTTTAAATATAAAAGTGCAATTGATTTTTGGTGACGCCATTCAACAGCAGTAAAATAAAGCCATTGGTCTAAAGGTTAATAGCCTTGTGAAGTACAGTAGTAGTTATGTCTAGCACAGCAGTATACTATATGTATCAATGCCTTTGCATTAGTCCTTAGGTAATTGTTCAGCAAATTTATCAAAAACATAAAAAACTATGGGTATCACTGTGATAGTGTAAAATCTGCTATAATCAAGTGCACAAAATCTCATTGTTTCTGGCCTGTAACATGGTCATCGTCAGCTCTGGTTTAAACGTATCTCAGGGGTACGCTTCACATTGTGGGCTCGTAAAAGGAGCACATTTTGTCTTAATATTCCCAGAGTATATCTGACTGATATGGGTGTTCCTGTCCAGTATTGCTACTTGAGTTTTTGAAGCTCACATGCTTCTCTGCCATATCAAGGCAGTGCTCCACTGAAGGCCAGTAACGTGACACAAGGTCAGTAGAATGTTTGGAAGACAGCGATTGTTGTTTAGTGGAGTTGCGGGTATCTCATAAAGCCAGAGCTGCCACGGGTGAACATCAGAAACGACATTGTTGCAGCACAGGCACAATGCAGATAGTACGGGTAGAAAGGGTTAATCGATTGTTATTTTAAAACTCATGATGCTTATTGATGTGGGATTCTATCTTGGGAATGACCTCCCGGTAACACGTGAATATGAGCTATGCTTTGGCTTGTAAAGTTGATTTTAAAAAAAGCAAGTGGCCTTCACGTTAAACAGAATAGACTAGCAGACAATAACTGCCTCTGCACATAATATATAAAAGGTAATTTTACGCAACCCATCAGCGCCCCGGCCCTCCAAGAGTACACATGAGGTGGCAGCATTAATTCAGATAAAAGCACATTTTGGACCGGTTTTGACATTCATAGCCACCTCAGCCGTCAGGCTCACTTGAATCAATACGGTGAACAACGAGATGTAAATCTTTAATATATATGGGTTTCACTTTAAACATATCATGTAACTATGACTGCATATTAAAATGACATATGCCTCCCTCCAATTTGCCTAACATTCACTGCTTTGTCCCTTGTCTTGAAAAATGCCTTTTGAAAACCAAATCTGGTTCAGCATTCTGAATGTAGGCGGCTTTATCTGGGTGCTTTTGATGTATACCTTATTGCAGAAATGTTTCCATTCGTTTTATTCCTTTATGTTTTTCTTGGATTGGTGTACGGGTATAATTTACAAAAATGCCATTTGTTTAATCCTGGTGCATGTCGGAACACTGCAGGGTCACACTGTGATTCTGTTGGTTTGTGGCTTTAAAAAAATCAGGTCAAACTTTACTTGCACTGGCTTGCTGTTCGTGTGGTCCCATGTCCACGGACAATAGATGTCTGAGAGCGTTCACAGCATTTAAACATTTATTGGTATTTTAAAGCATTCGTACATGAGGCACATACCAAAACGTGGATATTTGTCGTAAAAATCTGTAATGTTGCCTATCCAGTTGAGATTGTGAAATGGATTTGTATTGGCTGTTAGTTTGTTTTGCTGCATTCCTGATCATTTTCAAATATTATTTTTGCATCTTGACCAAATGTTTATTTATTTTTCAAATGCAATGTTTATACGTGATGGAATGTGTTATGTTGGTTCATTGGAACTCATGAACTGAATACATTTTCATATATACACTGTATGCGTTTTGCAAAGCTTTGTTGAAGTATCGCAGTCGTCAGCGCGTTTGCATGCTGCCATGAACAATAACAGGCCAGTGATCGATCAGGGGTTTTAGTTCTTCATGCCAGGGTGCAGATGCAGCATAATTGCAGTTGAAAAAGGAAGAGGTTTAACTCAAGACATTGCTTGCATTCTTGGGGAGCTCCTGTGGTGTTATGTTTAGCACAGAGGTCTCAGATTCGATCGTATCTTCCGGTGCTGCACTTGAAACAATGTTGCAGGTTTCTCACATCCCTTCACGTCTATCCACCCAACAGCGTTAGATGGTCAGTACATCACGGTTACCGATTAGTTAAGTAGCTGCCCTTTAACTGGAATTCCTGGCCCTGCCAATACTGTACTGTGCTGTGTTTTTAAACATTGCCCTTGAGTAACATGGCTCACTTCAAAAATGGTCTGGCCGCTATAAGGTGCCAGCAGGTGAATTATGGTGATGCAAGTCGTGGGTGCTATTGGGCACGGAGACTGTTTGCTGTCAATACACACTGTATGGTGGGGATGTAGCTGTGGTGTAACGGTCGGCACACTGGACTTGCAATCCAGAGGTCGCCAGATCGATCTCCCTACACTGCACTTGAAACAATGGGGCACGATTCTTAAATCCGCCTTTCCTCCCCGCCTATGTCCACCCACTGGTATAAATGTGTTCATCACAACTGATTGGCAGGTCGCATGCAGTGGGGTAAAGTGTGGGTACTCCCACCTTCGTCTAACACGTCTGGTCAGCCTGAAAGAGAACTCAAGCTCGAGGGGAGGCCCTCCGCCAGCAGTTGCTTGAGCAAGCGGTTGCAGGGTAACACCCTCCACCTGTCCCAACACATCCTTACACACAGTTAGTATCGTACGCTGCTCGGACACTTGATTAAATTGTGCAAGGTACGTGCCTGAATGAGTTATGCCATTAAATTTGAACCTCCTTGTCACTGAGAGTGCATTTAGAGATTGCATTTGGAAGCTGATGATTCAGTTGCCAGGATTTGGATCCTCCCTCGTATAAAATAGCGGTTTATGGAGCAGTTTAAACCAAAGTCTTCTCCAGTGCTGTTGCCACCGCCTGCCCGCGGCACACACACACACTCGCTTCCGCTCACAAAGACATTGTGTGATTGTTGTTACATACTCGGCAACTCACGAGAAGTCACTGTGGTATAGTCTTTATTAATAAATTATAATTTAAGAAATGTACACACTTAAAAACTATATACACATTCTTTAATAATGAATGAACTTGAAAACACTTAATTTGACATCTAACATTGTATGAGCACAAGTTAACGTTCAGCAGACTGGAACGTGCATTTCAGTGTTGCAATGCCTGTGGTGAAACGTGGGTGTCGTGACATGCAGGGTTTTTAACTCTTTGGTTCCTGCGGATATCCCACCTGAGGACGATCGCTTGTGTGGCGATCAAAACGTCGTGATCTATTATTATTTTTCTACCCACGTGACTTTACCGAAAGAACCAAAGAGTATGGATTCCTGCAGTCACGAAAGCTTCAAATCAAGAATGAAGGTTTTGCTTTGGCCAGTCATCAGTCGGTAGCCACTCGGGCCACAATTTATCTCGCACAAATATACAAAAAAACAACACGGTCATAATTACAATCATTTCGCCACATTTAACACAATTATCACAGCTTGACAACATCTCGCGCATGTACACATTGACAAATTTGCACTACCCTGTTAAAACAATGTTTTCATACTTGAACACACTCACACACACGGCCACAAGTACACAGTTCTTTTGTCGGCAAGTTGACCACAACACATCAAAGCAGAAAGCCCCTCTCCCCAGTTGGTGCGCGCCGTGTTTGTCACGCATGCTGTAATTGTTAGTGTTGCCCAAACGGCAACTTTTTACACACCGTGGTCTTATTTTTTACTCGAGCCGTCAGTGGAATGTGTCACCACTTGTCAGGTGGAATCCACTTTGTTCCATTGACCACCTGGTAATGCGCGCGCACACACCCACGTAAAACAAAGACTTCACCAGCTCGTGGTCTTAGGCGAGGGTTCAGGGGCAGTCACGTGTCTCAACGGTAGCGCATTCGCCGCTTGTTCTCGAGATTTGCGGTTCATATCCGACGGGGTGCCCGGGTTATGACTACGGGCATGTTGCGTGTAAAACACACGCCGTCTGCTGCACAGGGCATGCTTAAGATCCCATGGCGTCATTTGAAAAAAGTAGGCCATTGTGTAGGTGTTATAGTCCAAATTAGAAAATGTACTTGTAACCTTACACATTAGCGACATCGCCCCCTACTCCGAAACTACTGCAGACTGTGATATAGCGCCTTCGTGTAAAGCCTTGTATTTTCAGACTGGGTCGAATGTTCTAAATTATTACTATCCGTGTGAGTGTCTGTTCTGGATATGTCAGTCTGTGTGCCACCTAGGTGTGGCTTTACTTTACGTGCACGGGCTTGCTGTGTGTTGTGTTATATCCGGAGTTAAAGTGCCAGAACTCTTTGAACCTTTGCCTTAAAGTTGCGGGGGATTTTCTTTTTCATGATGTCCGGACCCCTCCGTCGCATCCGTTTACACGTCACAATACATTACAATCACCTGACTGTGTGTGTGTATTTGTACAAAGACACACACACGCGCACGTATACGCACGTATCAAGGTAACTGTGTTGCATTGTCTGCTTTCCGAAGATGAGGGTATAGGAAGCTACAATTACTTGTGCACAGCTTGGCACCAGTCTTGCCAGGAACGCTGTGAGAGTCTTTTGATTGAACTCTAAATCCTACATATAAATCATGCTCTCTAGGAACACATGCCTGCAATTTGTGAACTCATATGCAGACTCCTGGAGTTACACGGAGTTAAAAAGTAACATACTTAAATAAATCAATATTACGTATAAAAACGCACTTTAATCGTTTAGCGTTGTTGTTGGTTAAAAACGTGGGGCTTTTACCCTCGTTTTGCTGCATTTGTTTGTGGTCAGCGGTTTGCCCGATGGAGGATTCCAAGTCCTTAAAATCCAATCTAGGGCCACGATGATTAATGGCTGTCTCTGCATCATTGCGGCAGGGCCACGACGATTAACGGCTCGCTCTGCACCAGTGCGGCACTGCGAGATTTCCCCACGCCACTTGCGCTGGCACGGTACTTTGCGGATGAGTTCGCAAAGTGGACTTGCAGTAAAGGTGCATCCCTGCAATGTATGGATCATGCCAACGCAGGTGGATCTACCTTCGTTGGAAGGGGGGGCTCAGAGATCACCGCTCGACGGTTATTTGGCCTGCTCTTCCACGCTGGTTGAATGTCTTGGCAGAGGTGGACGTACCCACACTTTATCCCACCACACGCGCGACCTGTTGATCACCTGTCGTGTACTGATTCATACTGCTGGATGGCCAGAGGCGGGTGAATTCAAGAAACTTGCCCATTGTGTCAACTGCCACGGCGGGGAATTGACTTGCAATCCAGAGGTCGAATCGGCGACCTCTGGATTGCAAGTGCAGTGTGCCGACTATTACACCACGACAGCATCACAGCGCGATCCGTTACACGGTTGTAAAACATTTCTGCGTGCTTCGTGTGCCGTATTGTGGCGGTGACACGGTGGTTTCAATGTAATTAATTTTCAGGTTCTATCGACAGCGCTCAATGTGGAATTTAAAAAAAAACTCCACCTTCGGTCACTTTTGTGCATATCCACTGGAGTGTCACATGGCATGCATTCATCAGACCAGGGTTGGCAAATCAACTCTAAAAACATCAATACAAGAGGTGGCTCAGGGTTTAGAGCACTGAGCCAGCAACACTGATTTCCTGGGCTTGAGTGTGGCTTTCAACCGCCTGTGACTAATTCTAGATTTGAAGCTTTCGTGACTGCAATGATTCATAACTCTTTGTTTTTTTTCGGTAAAGTCACTTAGGTAAAAAATAAACAAAATAAATGAAAACTAAATTAAATCACGACGTTTTGGACGCTTGTGTTGCGCCCGAAACGTCGTGGTTTAATTTAGTCTTCATTTTTTTTTTTACCTACGTGACTTTACCGAAAAAACCAAAGAGTACACCTGTGACTAAACTGGTTTCTCTATAAAAATGTGATGGTCTTGCTAATGACTGCACAGACACCTATCGTATTAAATGTGGTTCTTCTCTTCGTGTGGCAAAATCTCAGCTGTAAAAACCATAAAACGTCCGTATTGCCTATCGTCTATCGAATGGCTCATCAGAAAGCAGTGCCCGTAGTATGCAAAATAGGCCACTTGAAGGGAACTCGAAAATACTGTGGTTCTGTGATATCCACTTCTGTGGGCCGTTTTCCAATATGGGGTGTGGGGGGAGATATTCTGCTCAATGAGAGCTCCGAATGGACACTTTGTCTCATGGTATGAAATTGATAGCACAATTGAAATAACAATATTGGCAAAAATAAAAAAAATATTCTTTACATATTCATCATTACACTGTGAATGTAGTTTATCCGCTGGGCGGCAAAATGGTAACCACGGAGGCCGAAGGTCTGTAGAGGCTGGACGCGACACTCGCTTCGAAATGGCACTAACCAGGGGATTGTTCATCTGCCGCAGGACTCACCCAGCCACGGGAGATGGCCCCTGCTCGTGATACCCGTGCAGTAAATATATATTGATCGTGTGACTCATGAAGCATCGCTTTCAAATCTGTTTTCATCCTAGCCCTAAAAGCAGTGATATATATAATTTATAAAGTGCTGTGTTGCGTATTTTACATGGTGTGTGTATACATATGTATTGCTTATCCCTGCAGCTCAAAACCGAGATGAGAATTCAACTGTAAACTCGTACATTGCCCAGGTAATTAAAATACCCCCTCCCCAATATATCTTGCATTAATGCAATACAGTTATGGGTTTTCTCATAATTATTTATTTAAATACAGGTTTATACAAATTCGGTTCGTGTCCTCTATAAGAGAAGTATGCTGTTGCTGCTGTGTTAGAGAACCGTGTAGAAATTATTTGCTGTCATTTACAAAACAAAATCGAACTGGGCTCAGGAAATGGCGCTCTCTCTCTCTTCTGCAGGAGGCAAAACAATCCCATCTCCAAATGTGCTTTCCCGACATCGCCCCCTCTGCATCTGTCAAAATAAAACCTGGTACGCTTCTCGTAAAAAAACACACACATTGAGCAGCTATTAGGCGCCTGTAAATCATGCGTTGCATACAGACTGCACTGCTGCGTTACGACTGCATTAAACACTGTACACTTTTGAAATGCGGATGCCCACGGATCAATCGGTGGCCTCGGAAACGAATAGTGAACTAAATTCTCTCTTTGCAGCCTCTTGATGAGGTGCCCTGCTCAGACGATCTAAAGACAAACTTCAAAACGCCAGAACTTCTCTCTGCCGGTGGAGGGGTTGATGGGTTAAGGTCGACGTTTCTGATCCTCTCCACCCAGCCAGCAGTGGATCTGCCTACCGCGCAGGACCTCCCAGAGGCTCCTGGAAACCCCGGGCAGAATGCCACGTGGAGCTCCCTTTTTCCACCATCCACACACGTGATTGTGGGGCCCTCTTTTTGCGTGAAGCCCAGGGCAAGTCTCGCCCCCTTTTGCCCTTCGCTCTGGGTGGCCCTACGTCCGCGCACGATTCGATCACAGTCGACTCTGAGGAACCAAATGGTGAAAGCCAAAGAGCGTGAATTCTCTCCCTCGGTGGCAAAGCTTTGGGGTTCCAGAGAGGGGGGCTGCTCAATGGAACGCTTGCAACGTGCGTTCTCTCTGCGGAGTTTTGTATGTTCTCCCCCTGCTCTGAATGGGTTTCTTCAGGGTTCTCCGGGTCCCTTTCAAAGCTAAAAACATGCATCACTGGTCTAGACCAATCAATGCGGGACCCTGCTAAGTCTTCAAACTCGATGTGGCTTTGCTGGGTAAGTCGGTCATTATTGTCGTATCATAATGACGTATTTACCCAGCCTCACCTCTGCGCGTATTGCTTATCGGTTGGCAGTGATGAAGACCCCGTGATTTTAGGACGGAGATGCAAACGCTAAAACAAAGGTGGCACGCGGAGGATGTTGTGCTTCGGCTGAAACCACCTACCCAGCGCCGTGCTGCTGTCCCACTGAAATACGTTCCCCATTGCCGCTTAGGCAGCTGATCCGTTTCGTACGGAGTTCGTCCCGTTGCGATGTTAAGCGACGGCATCGCGACAAAGCGTCGCAGTTGAGCCGTGCGTCCCGGCGAACCGTGATGGATGCGCACATTGTAACCTTGCTGCGATCGGCTGGTTTCTCACCACCTGCTGACTTACGCACATTACGGTCGCGCAGCTTTCGAATGTGCGGGCGGTGCACGCCAGACCCTACACAACAGACGCAAGGGACCCAGGTGCCGGGCTACTAAAAGGGAGGGAAATCGAACGGGTGGGTGTTGGTGGGTTGGTTCTTGCGCCAGGATCCGGTGCCAACCGCGCCAGGGCACTGCCGCGCAGCCGTGCGTCTACGACGCCCCTGGCAGCGGCAACGGCGGCATAGCCGAGCTACGGCGCGCGCGGGATGAGCCGAGGACGTCGGAAGGAGCGGGGCGTTTGCGGGCGCCGCCACCGCCGACAGCGCCGCGTTCAGCAGGCCGCGATGGCCCGGCTCTTGCTGCGCGAGAGCATGCCCAGCTCGGGGTGCTCGTCCCCCGCGCCGCCTTCCTCGCGCTTCTTCTCGCGCAGGCGCTGCAGCAGCCGCAGCGCCACCTCGTCCCAGTCCTCGGGCAGGTGCAGCAGGAGGAAGGCGACGCAGATCACCAGCAGCGCGGGGAGACGCAGCGAGCCGAAGTCCACGTCCGTGCAGAGCGCGTCCGTCACTGCGGGCCCCCCCCCACCGCCAAGAGAAGGGCGAGCGGTTAGTTAGGATGGCGTCGGGCGCTAGCGAGAGCGCCGGGGTTCGTGGTGTGGGCGGCAACCCTTCCCGTGTGCGTATGTACGTTGGGACTCCTTTCGCATCCCCACTTAGCCGACCGTCGTAATCGGAGGTGCGGACTGCGGGGTGACCATGCGCCGAGCGGTATTACCTGCATTGCCCGGGACGCTGAGCAGGATTCCAAAGGAAATGAACGTCGGGTAGGTGACCGCCACACCAAAGTTCACCAGGATGTTGAAGGCTGAAAGAATATCGCACGTTCGTGGTTATGATCTGGTGAGTTACACCAGATGATTTTTGGGTGCAGTCTCTGTTAACCCAAAGCCAATTGAGCCAGTCCACAAGGGTCTCAGAAGGATGAGTTCCGCTTAACCATTTTGCTAAAAACCAGCGCGTAAACCAGTTAGACTTTGCAGGTTCGCAACAACAATACAAAACACACGGTAGTTTTTTTTTTAAGTGGTGGTCATCTGTTTACAACTCTGAGACATTGATTTTGTGGGGGAGTGGGGGGGAGAATCATCAAACGAGTTCAATGTTGACTTATCCACAAAGCGGTGCTCGTTTTATCCACCCTGGAGGGATGATCAAACAGCAAAAAAAAACACGCAAATCTGACTGGCCTTGGCCAAAGCTCCCCATTCTAAAAAAGAGCCTTTAAGACTCGGCGAGGCTCTTCTTGGTGACCGGGATGAGGACTCTCAACTTTCCGATCGCTCCCACACCGAGCCACCTGACGGACCACGTTCAATGTGCCCTCTAGCGGATTGACGGTGAAGTTGACCAAGGGATGGCCGCTAATTTTACTTGAACAGGCCAGCGACAAAGTGTCGAACCGGTTAGAACCGGTAGCCGAATATTCACGCACTCCACCTCTCCCGTTCTGGAGCAGCAAATTGAATATGGGTTCGATCTCGATTTGAAGCTTTCGTGACTGCATGAATCCATACTATCTGGTTCTTTCGGTAAAGTCACGTAGATAGAAAAAATAATAAAAGATAACGACGCTTCGGTCGCAACACAAGCGTCCGTCACCTGATGACTGCTTTTTGGGTGCAGTCTCAGTTGAGCCAATACCTGATGACGGACGCTTGTGTTGCGACCGAAACGTCGTGTTCTTTGATTATTATTATTTTTTTTCTATCTACGTGACTTTACCGAAAGAACCAGAGAAATATGGCTTCGGTTTCCGATCTCAGAGACCTTCATCGTTGACAGGGGCTGAGAGCAGCTCTTCAAGTGACATCGTCACCTCTCGTCCACACTCCAGGCACTCGACCTTTCCCACGCGCATTCGAGCACAGTCGGAATTTAAGCGACAGACCAGATTTAACGCGACTGTAAATTGACGCAGCCGGAGTCCGTCGACGAACTCCGCTCGAGAACTCTGCTGTTCAAACCCCGGAGACTGAGACCCGGATTCAAACCCAGGCTCTTGAACGATGCTGGCTCAGTGCTTTGACTTGTGTTTCGGCCCCCTAACGGGCCGTCCATAAATGACGTCACGCACCTGGGAGGGGGGGGCGGGGGGGGGGGGTCAGACATTTGTGACGATGTGTGACGAGGGGGGGGGGGGGGGTTTGAGAAATGTGACGTCACATCAAAATTAATTGTTATAACAATACTAATTGTTATAACAACACTCCGACAACATCAGAGTGCAGCGCCACATTAAATACGCACTACAATGACGATAGTTTGAAGCGATTTGGAGCACGATTTATTTTAAAAATGGAAATATGGTTTGGGGGGGGGAACAGAGCTTTGTGACGTCATATTTGAGGGGAGGGGGGTCTGACTTGTTGTGACGCCGTGTGACGAGGGGGGGGGGGTCAAAAATAATCAAAAATCGCGTGACGTCATTTATGGACGGCCCCCTAAGTCCCGCCCCCCCCCCCCCCGGGCCACCCCTCGCTAGGATCGTCATCGGCAGCAGCGAACGGGCCCCCCCCCCCGGACACGCGTCGTACCAAGCAGGAGGCACGCGATGCCGCAGATGCAGCCCCAGGGCAGCGTGGAGGCAGAGGGCCAGTACTCGACGCGCGTGAAGTACAGCACCACCGGCACGGCCGACACGAAGAGGATGTTGAAGAGGCCGAGCGACGAGAGGAAATGCGCGGTCTCGCCGAAGTTTGCGCTTCCCAGAAGCATCTTGAACAAGACCTGCGGGTGCCGGTGGGGGTCGCGGGGTCGCGGGGTGAGCCGTGAGCGAGACGGAAGTCGGATGCTGCGGAGGGAAGGTTTCGGATGCACGCGATCTCTCGGCCCGGTTCTGCCCGCGTAGGCGACGTGAGATTTTTTGCGAGGTTTGTGACAAGCGATGAGGACAGAATGAAAGCAACTGCTGCTTGCGCGGCTTCTGGAGGTCGCACTCTGAAGCTACGCGACGTGCTTTCGTGTCGCGCCGCGCGTCATTCGGCTAGGAGCTCCCGGGCGCGTGGAGCGAAACGTCGGACATCGTGGCGAACAACAGCCCACGGCGGCACGACCCGAAAACGCGTCGGAGAGCCGAACAACAGCTTCCGGTGAATCCCGTGGCACCTGGTAGAGCGCAGAGGTGGAGGCAGAGCCCACAGCGAGAGCCACCCCCACGATGGAGTCGTGGTGGAAGCCGTCCACGTAGACCATCATCACGATGCCGGCGATGGCCAGGATCGCTGCCACTATCTGCTCCACACAGACGTGCAGACACAGACGCGGACAGGCAGAAGCACAGGCAGCCTTGGACGCGAGTCCGTGCATGTGTGTGCATATTGAATGTTTTTTTTTTTGCAGAATGCACCAGATCTCAGGACGCTAAAGCGGGATTTGAGCCTGGTTTGCATTTGCATTGTAAGTTGCCTGTGATTACCGGATGTCCTAAGGCAAGGCTGTCAGGCAGCCTGGGAGATGCAATACAGCAAAGAATCCATGGTTGAATCCATTGCTGTCACAATAGGACCACGATGCACTTCTTCAGGACCTGCCGATGTTTTTTTTTTTCCTGCATAATGCACAAAGGCCGCGTGCTCTTTACACGTGTATGTGTTGTTTGGAACCTCTGAGTGTAGCGTTAAAACCACACCATCATCATCCCGCCCGCTATAGATAGCCCTGATTGAAAAGTGATGCATTTTTTATGTATTTATTGCAATTACTCGAGTGAGCACATTTGCCTTCACCAATATCTTACCCCAGGGCCCCGATTATGCCCTAACGCACAACGCTGTGAAGCTCTCATCACGGGCTTCGAGGAGATGCTGCAGCCTGGCTCGCCAGGAGAACACGGCACAGCAGAGCGCGGGCTAATATCATCTTTGCCGCTTTCCTCCCACACGTGTAGTAGACGCTCATGAATTGCCTGAAAACATCTTAACATGTAGAGGACAGCAGAGCGTTGGCAATTATGGGCACCGGGATCGCCTCCTGGCTGCTGCTCTCTAGCTCGTCTGCTGTTCCATGGCAATTGTGTGATGCAGTTCGCACGAGCGAACGCACCATTTAAAACTAAGACAAACAAACTAAACACAATAATCAGTTTGAAAGAAATTCGTTTTCAATCTAGATTTAAAAGTGCATAGCTCCAGCGGCATCCTAATATCAGAGGGAAGAGCGTTCCAGACGGCTGCTACGGAATTATTTCATCTAGCAGTGGATTGATCCTGGCTGCTGATGGTAAAGATTAATATGCCAGTAGTTGCTCTCGGGGTGTGATGTCCCCCACCGTAGGAATATGGAATTTCTGCCGTTGGCTCAGGGCCGCCAATTAGGGCTACACAACGCTCCGAGCTCACTTGAGTGTGGAGACACTTTGGATTCTGAACTTTTATTTGCTAATATGACCGTGTAATTAGTGCAACTCTTGAAGGTTTAATTAGCATCGTTAAAATGGTTCTTCTCCTGCGGCAATAGCAGCAGCTGGAAGCGTTCTAATAGACACCGCTGGGGCTGGGGGAGGGGGGACAGTCGGAATGTTTCCGATGGCGATCGAGCGAGCGAGCCGCGTCGTCGGGACGACCGGCGTGTGCCGAGCGGCCGCCCTCTCGTCCATCGCGAGCGGGCCAAGCGGACTCCATGGCAACCCGGGATCGTCTCCGGAGGTTGGCGTTACAGCGGGAAGGCCCCGCGTCGCGTGCGGCGAAACGTCCGACATCGCGTGGGGGGGGGGGGAAGCGGGCAGTGACCCCGCGAGGTCGCGTGCCTTCCGTGGAGTTCTGGGAGCCAGCCAACGGGCGGCAGCGTGGCACGGTAGTAGCATCCGTGCCTCGCGGCAAGAAGCCCTTGGGGTGTGTTACGTGCTCACCCTGGCCTACAACGGGTTTCCTTCCGGCTTCTCCAGGTTTCTCCCGTTGCTGAGCACACACGCAATGTGCCTTGTGTTGGCCAAAAATCCCAAATGGGATTGCACACAGCGGCCGCGTTAACCCTGACTGCAAAAAAACTTGCCAGGACCTTCCTGAAAACGAGTCTTGAGACTCGGCAAGGCTTTCCTTTAAATACAGAGTATATAAAATATATATATAAAAATAGCATTTTGCCCGTACAAGGATGGGTCTGTTGCAGTAAATCTGAAACTTGCAAGCGAAAATCAGACCGCGACGTGATATTCTTTGCATCAATGCGTGTGCAATTTGTAAGGCCGCGGTGACACAGACTTCATTCATTTCAAGGTTATAATCCATTTTTCATCATGATGTCCTTTTTGCTTTGATGTTTCAACAGCGTTACGGAGATCACGTGACGTGAGGGTTCTGTAGTGAGAGTTGTCAGTTGACGCCGAGGAGGGGGGAGGAGGCGCCTCGCCCCCCCATGTGGAGTGACGTCAGCCGCTGATTATTATTAATAGAGGGGGGGGGGGTGTCCATTCGGAGAACGTCACCTGCTCATGATTATTAATGAGGGGGACTGTTCAATGTGGAGTGACGTCACTTGCTCATGATTATAAATGGGGGGGGGAGTACTCCATATTGAGTGACGTCACCCGCTCATGATTATTAATGAGGAGGGGTGGGGGCCAGGGGGGGGTGTCCATTTGGAGGACGTTAGTAAATGTAATCAGCCCATCATTCCTCTGGGGTCAATAAAACGAATACCACTCCGTGGGCTGTCCTATGGAGTGACTCACCCCACGCCATGGCAATGTGAAATCTCCACCACTTGCAAGAAATCACCGACTCTTTAACACGACGACTCACACCCGGCAGGAGTGATGAGGCGTCTTCACGTTGGCCGTCCCTACCCCGCGGCCCGTCGCTCGCCCCCCGCTGCCACCGTCCAACGCGGCCTTCGTGCCGTGGCTATCGGCCACCGGAGGTGAGGAATTCGCGGCGCGAAAGGGCGGAGGGCCCTCGGATCGCGCGCTTTCTCACCCGGACGCCCATGAACTTGTCCTTGAGCACGATCCACGACAGCAGGAACACGAAGGCCTTGTTGCAGCAGAAGAGCGCCGACGCGTCGCTGGGCGGCAGCTTGCGCAGCGCCAGCAGGTACAGGTAATGCGTGAGCACCCAGAGAGTGCAGAAGGGTGCCAGCCGCTTGAGGAAGAGACGCACCGTCATCCCGTCCTCTCCGACCAGCCGCGTGCACTCCCTGCCGGGGGGGGGGGGGGGGGGGGTGGGGAGCGGGCACAAAGGCTCAAAACGTCCAGCGGCCGGCAACAACCGGCACTGTTGCAGATGCAACCCTTCGGCCGTGGCACGCCACGGGAGCGAGGAGAAGTGAGCTGCAGATTGAGGAAGAGCAACGGGTCCACTCTGGTCGGTTGTGTTTGCGTGGTGCTCGTTGGTGAGCGTGCTTGGACCGGTCGGCTCGCTAAACCCGGATTCATTACTGGTGGCTGCAGTCGCGATTTCAAATCCAGGATCGGCGCTCCGTGTCCTCGGAGCCACCCGGCCAGCTACACGCATCAGTCACCGCGATGTTATTGTCACACGTAGGCCATTATGTTCCAAATAAAAAAAAACAGTTCCTCGCGTGATGTTTTTGTGTTGTTGTTGCGGACGGACTCGGAAATCTATTTAATTAGCTACGCAATTAAAATCCAGTCGCGGCACGAGTGCTGTATGGATTTATGCTTTAAAACTTAGTTCCCTCTCGTCTCCATCTTGCGGCGTCCCTCTTAACCCCGACTCCTCTTTACATTTACATCAGAGAAATAGATCGCTATTTAGGGAAAGCAGAGCGAGAGTCGAAGTACCCGTGCTTTAATGAATCATTGATGAGGACTCCAGCGATGGAAACGCTTTGAAGAAGCGCGCGCGCACACACGCGCGCGCCGGTAATGCAGTCGCTCTTGATTTATGTCACAAGCCGTCGCGTGCCGGCGAATTTCACGGCGGCGCTCACCGTAGCAGCTTGAGCGGCGACTGGCGCTCGCTGGCGCTGGCCACGTGGCCCAGGTAGTAGATGGGGAAGAAGGCGACATTCCAGGCGGTGGCGAACCAGGTGAGGAAGAAGGGCGCGTAGACGCGGGACGAGGAGAGGCGTGCCAGTTGGCTCACACCGACGAGGCAGGCGGCCACGGCGAGCAGAGCCCCCACGCCGCACGCGCTGCGGTGCGCGCCCTCGGGCGTGCAGCAGCGGTCGCAGCGCGGAGTCCCCGCGCCCTCCCCTCCCTCCGGCTCCGTGCGGGCCTCGGTCGGGGATTCGTCACCTGCGGGCCGCACGCGCACGCACGCACGCACGCGCGTGCACACACGCACACACACATACACACAGATGCGCGCACAAAAGCACTTTCTTTTTATACAAAAAAAATGTTCAAGTTTCAAATGCACATTGATTTACCCGGTGAGGCTCCACGAGCGAGTGCCCTGGGTCACCAACATGACAATAGCACAAAGCAAAGGACAAGACTACAGCAAATAGGCATCGGTGCAGAAACAAGCAATCAGAAATCAGAGCTAAAACAATCGAGTAGACATCAGAGCAGAGACGACCAAAATAGTCATCGGAGCAACGAGCGAAGGACATGGCAATGGTGACCATGGCAGTAGCGATAGAAGAGTGATAGGGAGGCGAGGAGTGAATGTGCGCTGGATCATCGCCCACCCTGACTGCTGTGCTCTGAATCATGTCAGCCTGTAGTGAGGGAGGAATAGGCGCTTCACCCCAATGAAAATGCGGATAGAAATATAAAAAATCGACAAAACGAATTTACAAATGTGACCTCAAGGCCTGTAAAATCTAGCAAAGACAGTTGAAGAGAAACGGTTCAATTAACAAATGCGAACGGTGACAGAACAACAACGAGAGAGAGAGAGAAAGACAGAGAGAGAAGAGTCACGGCAATTGCGTCCCAAACGCACAAGCGAACGACCGGGAGCGATAACGATGGTTGAAGTCGCCAGCGCTGATGACTGCAATCAGCGTTGATTGCTAAGACCGTTCGCGAAAACGCCGACTCCCAAACTCGCAACACGGCATTAAGCACAGGAATGCGCCGTGTATTTATCGATCGGTAATAAAACATTCGTCGCGACGGTCATCTTGGGACTGCGACCCTCGGGAGGGGAGGGACGGACGCGTCTTCCACGGCGACCGTCACCCCGCAGCCTCGGCTCGCCTCGCTTACCGGTGCCACGGGTGGTGGCGCCGGCAGCGACGGGCGCCACCCTGGCAGAGTGCTTCCTCATGGCTGCTTCCCGGCCGCCGCCCAAACTACCGACGCCACAGCCACCGCCGACTGCCGCTTCAAGGCTCGGCTGGGCTTGGCACGCACGGCGACGACCCCCGCCAGTGCCGCACCATCACCGCGCCGCAGCCCGTCCCCTCTCCCCGCGCGCGGCGCTGTCGGCAGCGGCGTCTCGCCGTGCATCGCTTCACCATGGCGACCGAGCCGCTGGTCCCATTGACGTCCCCCGGAGCGAGGGGGCGCAGCTACGACAGCCGGCAGCTGGCAGCGCGAGTGGCTGGGTAGGGCGGTGAAGAGCGATGGGGTCGTGCGGTTGGGACCGACGAGGCGTTCGCCAACGCCGTGGCAGCAGCAGCAGCAGCAACCTCGGCAGCAGTCACCGATGGGAATGCGGAGCGAGCGCTGGGATTATCCGGCGCTGCGCACTGCGTGGTTTTTTTTTGGCCAGTCATCGTTTTTTTTTTGTGGCAGAACCTTTCAGACGCTTGACGCGCCACCGTAGATTTCACAGTCGTCGTAACGGAAACTATTCAAATATGGAAACTTGAATTGTCCCTCTCCATCACTAGCACCATCATCATCATTATCAATGATTATTCTTTGATGGTTTGAGCTGATTATTAACATTGACATGATTTGACTAAATGTGCAAGTTCTGACGTAAATTGCCACACATAAATTGGATGCACTTTTGCCGACACAAATACACCACGAAATGAAAGCATTCAATTCTGTTCACACCACGAATTAAATTGCCAGCGGCTTGCCTCCGTCTAGCAATTGCAATGCGGACCACGAGCAAAAATGACGGCAGCCGGTGGTGACTTCATTGTACGGAGGATGCTGTGACTCACTTTGCATTGACACAGACGGGCGCGTTGGGAAAACAGCGAAAACAAAAATCAATTACCTCCTTCTCTTGTGACGCAAAGTCAAGTGCGTTACGTGTTACGAAGGTTCCGTGCAGCCGTCTCGTGCAGATGAATCGATTACACCGTGGACACGGCCAGAAGGCGGCGGGTCCCTCTGCAGGTGCCACGGGAGCGAAAGAGCCGAGGCCCCATTCCCGGCGCGGAAATGAAATGTCGCTTCTGCTTTGTGGGGGCCTCGGCGGAGGCGGCGGCCGCATTAGCCGGGCGGGGGATGAGCGCCGGGTTCATCTCGCGTCGCACGAGCGCAGAGAAGAGCCACTGCGCGAACGCCTCGCGAGGGCGCTCACGGAATTCAGTGTCGGTGGGGGGAGGAGGAGGAGGAGGGGGGGGGGAGGGATTCACTTTTCGGTAGATAATTGAATTCAAATGTGGCCAGCTGTGCGATTGATTAAAATTAGCGAGTAAATTAATGCGCAATAGGAGCTCGGAATAAAACATACGCCGTGAATTGACATAAGATATGCAGAGACTCTGTCTCGCCACGGGGACACGCGCAGCCCGAGGGCTCATTGTCCCGCGGGTTAAGCGTCATTAAGTCAAGTGACGAGCCCCATTGGGAGCCGAGGTTGCTGTTGTATTGCCCAACTATCTACCAGACGTAATGTATCATATTAAGATATAAGATATGTTTGACAGTCCGCTCAATGGGAGGTCGCTCCTTGTGTGACGCTGTGGGCTGGAAGTCCAAACCTCTGGCCATCCGGACAATCTAGATGCCCTGCAATTGACGTTTACTATCTCAAGGGATGTTCTACGTTAACCATTTTAATCACTAAATAACAGCATGGCTGATCCCCTCTGTCTACCCAGGCTCAAGCCTCATCTTCTGCGCCAAAAACTGAGCAGTTCCATATACAATCCAATTGTTTTGTTCAGTGGGGAAATCCTCTTCCTCCCGTCCTCTCCTCTCTCTGATTCGCCCCTTGGCCTCTGTGCTGCATTCGGCCCGGGGACGGAACTTGTCTACCGAGCAGACAGAGTGACGACATCAGTGTGTGGGTGCTCGGTGGATTGCTACGTTGCATGATTGTGAAAGAATGTGGCAGTGGCTTGGAGAACCCTTCACGTAGCAGAGGATCGACCATGGCTGATAATAATGATAAAGATGATGATTTCCTTATGCTTGTGATTCAACTGCCCTGGAGTTGATTCGCCCGTCTGCCACTTATCCTACCTGACTCTTTGTTGTCCCATTTGTACCATCTCATTTATCCTGTTCCGTTCATCCATCTTTGCCCACTGCATTCGCCGAAATGTAACGTTGGCATATATGTAATACGCCTTTGCGTGAATAGTAGCTGAATCACCACATCGTAAAATCAAGAGTGCATTTGGGTATTTGCACCGTTCGCATAGCGCAAGGCCATTCCGAGGGCACTGCTGCAACACAAGACGTCCTCTGCGCTCGTTTCACAGGAGAGGGAGAGTTTGCTCTCAGTCTCCCGCGCACCGCCACGTCTCTGTGTGTGTGTGTGTGTGTTTTACTTGGGGAGCTGTAGTGTAGCGGTTAGCTCTACGAACCTGGCCACCCGAGTTCGATTCCCGCTCACGGCCAAAATCAGTGACGATTATCTGAACCGGTCCTGGGTCTCCCCTCGATCGACTCAGCCTCAAATGAGTACCTGGTGCGGTGTGTAAACATCGCCACTGGGGAGACAAAGGCGGCCGGGCGTGGTGCTGGCCGCCTACCCCCTCGTGTGCCGTTCTGGCCTTCATACGTGCTAACTAACAACACTTGCCACAACATTCTGTCACAGGCTATACGGGGGACCTTTGTCTGTGCTTTTATAACACGATATATATTTTTTAAAAAAAAACGATATCGCCGACTGTATCCATCATCCGCGCTTTGACGTTCTCTCCGCAATTCTCGGGGCCGTGTGCGGTTTGGCTCTGGCCGATTCGAGTCAAAGCAGAACGCCAAGCCGGGGCCGTTTCTCTACCCCTGAGCCCGTGGCTGCGGTGGCACTCGGCGCCGCGAGAAAAACCCCACGGCTCGCGATCATCGATCCCGAGAAACCTCAAACGTAGCGCCTGCCCTTTGCTGCCCACATCTGAGGGCGCGTCCCCGGAGCGCGAGCCCCGAACCCCCGCTCTCCCCCGACTTGGCTCGGACGTTCGGTCAACGTTTCACGATGGCGCGGCAGTCGACGAAACCCCCTCCGCCTCTGGCCACCGGGCAGTTGCACGCGGCTACTGGGTGGGGTAAATCGTGGGTACGCCCACCTCTTTCCAAGACGTGCGGCCAGAGCGGAACAGCCGATCTCCAGGGCTTTCCGCCGGCAGTGCAAGAGCTGGAGGCTGACGCTGACCACTCGTGAACGTGACGCGTCCGCCGGGCGGTACTGCAGCGCAATTGGGATCGGAGACCCGCGGGTGACGAGGTTCACGCTTTTTTTGTTTGATCTATTTAGTTAATTAAGTTGTATCTATCCAGATTTGACGTTTTCGTGACTGCAGGGATCCATACTCTTTGGTTCTTTCGGTAAAGTCACGTAGGTATAAAATGAAATAAATTAAATCACGACGTTTCGGGCGCAACACAAGCGTCCGTCATCAGGTGAGACAACCACAGCAAGAAACAATTGCTGAATTAAGTTGCGTGCCATTTATCCAAGATAGGTTTTTTTTTTTTGCTAAAACACGCATCCTGCTCAGAAAAAGAGCAAACATGTTTACTTTCTGAAGATATCTTTCGAATGTATCCTGGATGCCGCGAACGCATTGGGATTTGGAACTGGTTCCCTGTGACCTCAACCTTCGAACCAACTACAGACACAATGGGAAACATCCCTTTTGATTTGCAGCTTTCGTGACTGCGGTGTCTGCTGCTGGCAGCACGGTGTCTGCTGCTGGCAGCACGGTGTCTGCAGCGTCGTTGCTGCTCGCAGCAGACACCGCGGCTATCGCGATTTTCACCTGAAGACGAGCGCTTGTGTTGCGTTCGAAACGTCGCGATTTATTTTGTTTTATTTCAACATACGTGACTTTACCGAAATGACCAACGAGTAGGGAAACATCCTCTCGAGCGGCACATACATCACAGCGAAACCATTCCGCAATGGACAATGGTACAGTGAGGGAAAAAAAAAGTATTTGATCCCCTGCTGATTTTGTACGTTTGCCCACTGACAAAGAAATGATCAGTCTATAATTTTAATGGTAGGTTTATTTGAACAATGAGAGACAGAATAACAACAACAAAATGCAGAAAAACTCATGTCAAAAATGTAATAAAAATGATTTGCATTTTAATGAGAGAAATAAGTATTTGACCCCCTCTCAATCAGAAAGATGTATGGCTCCCAGGTGTCTTTTATACAGGTAACGAGCTGAGATTAGGAGCACACTCTTAAAGGGAGTGCTCCTAATCTCAGCTTGTTACCTGTATAAAAGACACCTGTCCACAGAAGCAATCAATCAATCAGATTCCAAACTCTCCACCATGGCCAAGACCAAAAGACCTCTCCAAGGATGTCAGGGACAAGGTTGTAGACCTACACAAAGCTGGAATGGGCTACAAGACCATTGCCAAGCAGCTTGGTGAAAAGGTGACAACAGTTGTTGCGATTATTCGCAAATGGAAGAAACACAAAAGAACTGTCAATCTCCCTCGGCCTGGGGCTCCATGCAAGATCTCACCTCGTGGAGTTGCAATGATCATGAGAACGGTGAGGAATCAGCCCAGAACTACACGGGAGGATCTTGTCAATGATCTCAAGGCAGCTGGGACCATAGTCATCAATAAAACAATTGGTAACACACTACGCCGTGAAGGACTGAAATCATGCAGTGCCCGCAAGGTCCCCCTGCTCAAGAAAGCATATTTACATGCCCGTCTGAAGTTTGCCAATGAACATCTGTGTGCTCGGAGAGCAAGAGGTTGGCCGCGCTCTTCCTGCCCAACGCCGCCGCCGCCGCCCTGCAGTTACCGCTCTCCACAGCAGATGGGGCACCTGGCCCGGCTGCAGCCCGGTGCAGATTGCGTGGACGGCATGACCTCCGCCGTGTGGATTGCAGGGTCGAGGCCACGTGCTCTTTAACGAGATGACGATGATCTCGAATACACTTTCCTGTAATTTTACCCGGGAATGGCGTCTCACATTGTCATCGCGCTTTCCTGCGCTTCCAGTGCGAACAGAGACCGCGTGCAACGTTCTGACCCCGTGCCCCAACTGGGCATCTTTGACAAAGAGCTGTATGGCTCATCGGGTTCCTCCAATGTAAGTACATATTCTGATTCACTTGAATATTCTTGCTCACGCAGTTCGCTCAACATAATCTTGCCACGAGTCTTCCGGTCATTTGCAACTTTACAATCTACAGTGCTGATAAAACACATTGCTGTCAGGCATACACTGAGTGGTTAATTTAACTTCGGTGCCAAGAGTCTCGGCGGACTTAGGTTGTGATGCAGGTGAAAAATGGACGATTAATAGCTACGCATTTCTAACTTTAATGAATGTATACTCTCTGTTTTTTCGGTAAAGTCACGTAGAAAGAAAAATGACAAAAGAAAACACGACGTTTCGGTCGCAACACAAGCGTCCGTCTTCAGGTGATAAAATGATCTGCTGTTGTGGCTTTATATAGGCACGGGAGGGGGGGAAGGGGGGGGGGAGCTTCAAATCAAGCTTTAATGAATGTGTATGGGTTTAAACATATATATTGTTAGGGTATAATATTTACGATTTCGAGCAATGGTATAATTATATTTAGCACAACGGACGATACGATTATCACGGGCCTTGTATCGCTCGATAGTTCTTCGTGTCGCCGCTGTATTTGGGCGACTGGTGAATTGAGTGCCGGGCCTGAGGGCGCTGTCCATGGTACTGGCTGCCGAACCGTTGGCCTCAACATTGTTAAGTGGTGCAGCCACCTTGGACGGCAATTTAATAAACCATGATTTGCTTGAAGTATTTTATCTCGAGATCGCAACTGTGTCCGATAGCAGGATTATCATGGTATCTTCGTGTGTGAACAAAACATGTTAAAACAACGGGGTCACAGCGTTAGTTGATAGAGAATATCAATGGTGGAAAACAAACGAATGCGATGTGAAATATTTGTGCAGTGTGAGGATAAATAGGAAGTGTTTCGATGGAACAGACGATATGCACGGTACGACTTCTGCCCGTGGTTGATATTGCTGATGGTGGACACAGCCCAAGGTGGACACAGCCCACGCTGGACTCAGTCCATGATGGACACCCATAGCATTTGTCACCCAAGTCGAGCTGCATCCACGGAGCCGCTTCCGAAGCACGCGGTCCGCTCTCCACAAATCGATTCCACTCACGAGACCTGT